TGCTGAGATGAGAGTTGTGATAAGTTATGGACTTTTTTTGAACTTGAAGCAAACAAAAGCAAGTTGAGGTTTTAGGTCAGTAGGGGGCCTCCTAATGTGCTGCATAATCCTCTCTTGATCAGAGCAACTTGTCCATAATCTTGTGCCAAAAGGATTTAGCTTGTACCTTCTTGATTTTCAATTGGACATAAAGCTAACCTTTTCAAGAATGGAAAGTTTACTTTATCTAAAAATGGATCAATCTTGTGTACAATGCTTGAACTCATGGAACAACACTTTGGCACAATGAACAAGCATTAAATTAAGAAGTGTAATTTGGTTTAAGGACCTGTAAAGTAGCACAAACTATGCTGAGTTCAAATTTGCAAAGTTATGGATATGGAACTTGGTCATGAACAAAGTGGTTTTTTGCTATATTGTGAAATTCGATTCTCTCTAACCATGAGGTTATTTGAGAAGTTCTTGGACATTTTGGAAATCTTGGAATGTGTACTACAATCCATCTTTGAAGTGCAAATTAAAATTCCAAGTGGAAGGGTATGAAAAGTGGCCTTGAAGTGGGGTAGAAAACCTTGTCAAAATAGGTTAAAAATTCACTAAGTTAAAAATGGTTTAGTGCCCTTATTCAAAAAATTATAACTTGAGATACAAGCTTCAAATGAGAAAACTTTGTGAATCAAAGTTGTAGATTATGCAACAAGCTACAACTTTCATGTTTTGACTTTTGTTTGAATCCAAATGGATCTTGGTGAAAAGATGGGGCAAAGTTGGGAAAAAATTAGGGTTTTTCATAACTTAGAAAAATTCTAAGTTATGAAAAATTCCATTTTCAAACCCTAATTTGCATTTTGTGATTTTTGGTGAACAAGTTTCATGATTTGGCATGTTTTGATGAAAAATGAATCTTGACTCTTGATTTTGACCAAAAAGTCAAAGTTTGACTTTTTAGTGTACAGTCAAAATTGATCAATTGACTGGGAAATTCAACTGTCAATCTTGTGTACTTGGGATCTTTTGAGCTTGATGAATGTGTCAAGACCATTTCATTGAGTCCTTGAGTCCATATGTGAACTTGGTTTGCCATTGGCTAGGTCAAACAGTCAAAAATTGCCTTTGTGCAGTCAAAACCCTAAAAATGACCATTTTGCCCTTTTGATGATCTGATCAAATTTCTTATGGAGTTGTGATCCAAACTTGATAAAATGGTTCATGTGAGTTCATAATGTTGATGTGGATTAAATTTCATGAGGTTTGACCGTCAATTGGCCATAGTTGACTTTTTCCCCAATACAGCTGATTTCTAGGTCAACTGTCCAATTGGCTGGGCAAAACTTGGAATCAAGACTTGAAACTTGGTGAGGATAAACTTGGGAGTCCAACATGAAGCATGAAAGTCATCTTAGGCATTTTAGGTCAAAACATCCTTAGGCAACCACAAACCCTAATTTGAGTCCACAGTGCAAGGAGAAGTCCTGAGCAGAGGAAACCCTAACTGGATCTTGATCTTCAAAGGTCTTATGATGAGAAAATATTGAGGAAATGGGAGGGCAAATTTTGGGGTACAACACTATGTATGATTCATTTGTGAACTCGTATTATTTTAGAATATTTGCCATGATTTTTGTATTTAGCATTTATTTCGTGTTTATGTTATAGTCGTAGTTTAGTGGTAAGTGTTTACTTTGTGTATATTGTTTTTCATATTCTTACAAAATTCTGTTTGTTTACTAAAAATGAATTTTTAAAACTTCAAGACAAACATAATCTTTTCATTCTTTAAATGCCATTGTTTTCACATGACTAATTGTTCGACAGCAGAAAATTTGCATGAGGGAAATTCAATGAACGGAAGTCCTCTCAATGGACATAATCACCTCAGATGGAAAGACATTTCCAATAATAGGCCTTTCATAATCTAGGGGCATGACATGATATCTAATTGATCTGGGGGCAGTCGAGTCAAGATTCGAGGAATCTCTCAAAAGTGCCAAATAGCCAGAGGCAGACCCCCGTCTGAATTATTTAATTTTCTTTCTAAATAATCTTTCCTGTTATTTTCTATTTATTTACCATTATAGAAATAAATGTATAGGTCGCACATACGATTTTGTAATAGTTAGTTTATCTTTTTCGCATTTTGTTTCTAAATATTGTAACTTCTCATGGGAAGTAATAGTCTAGGATTTACTTTCCCGCACTTTTACTTTCCGCACCTCTGTATATACATGTATATTACTGTTAGTAATTAACTCGTGTATGGAAAGATAAAAGCAAACGTTAGCAAACCTAACACTCAAGATAAATAACGAAAACACAACACACTCTCACACACGCACCTCTAAGGTACCTCCACTTGTTGCCTTTGGATAAATAAACAGTCACGACTCTCGAACGTAAGAGATTTTAGCGGTAACCCTTTGGTTTAAAGATCATAAGTCACTCGATGACCCTTTCGATTTTGCCTCGGTATATGATCTTAAAACCTTAGGGTAACTACTAAAGTATCTTACTAGTTGCTTTCGTGACTTTACGATGACCCTCGCCCATCCCTCAAAAATCCAACGATAGGGCTACCTACTCACTAATAGTAAGATAGCACTGTCTAAAGGAAAAGAGGAAAAGAATAAACCTTTCAAGTAGGTAGATAGCCCCTAGTTGCTTTCTCATAAAAACTATAAAAAAAACAACTTTTTGACACATACACAAACTCTTTTATAAATATTTTCAAAGACAAAAAACACTTTGTATACGTTCTCGCCAAAACGAGAAACATTACAAAGTTCGCCGTGCTAAGGCGTCTTTTCAAAATATCTTTAAAACATATTTACACAAAAACTCATTTTCAAAATGAGCTAGCAACTAAGAGCCCGTAGATAACTACAGATAGAAAGAGTGTTAACACCTTCCCTTTCCATAACCTACCCCCCTTACTCAGAAAATAATTTCGAAAGGTCTTTCCTGTTCTTTTCACCTTTTTCTTTGTTGGATAAAAGAAAATTCAGTGGCGACTCTTGCTAACCGTAACATTGCAATAAAATGCAAAACCAGTAAAGTCAGTTCTCCCACCGTATTACACTGGTGCTTCCTCGCGGGCACCATCCTTCTTTTTATACTGCTTGAGGTGCCCATCTCTAATCAGTATCTCGATTGCATCCTTGAGGTGAATGCAATCTTTTATGTTATTCCCGCAACTCTTGTGGAACCTGCAATATTTTATCTTGTCAGTTCCCAGTTTGGATGGTGTTTGTTGGGGGAAGTGTACCCCGACTTGCTTTAATTCAGAATTGGCGCATTCAGAAAGAATACGCTCACTTGATGTAGTCAGAGGGGTGTAAACATGGAAACGACCGGCTTTCCCCTTGTATTCTTTGGAATCGCGGGATTTATCCTCCCGTTTCTTCTCTCCTTGATGAGATGTCGAGGTTTCGTCGTTCTTGGAGGACTTGGCACTCTCTATGTGCCTTGATTCCCTGGCGTTGTTGGCCAATTCCTTTTCCTATTAATGTATGTACGCATGGGACTTGAGGAAGATGGAGTCGAACGTAGCCAGCGTCTCAATGCCTACAGCTTTGGCAAAGTCACTGCGAGGCCGGAGCCTGCGCTCGAGAATATCCTTCCGAGCTTCTTCCATGATGTGATGGATTCATCGGGGAGGCTCTTGTACCAAGACATCACCCCTTCCTGAGAGTGGTCGGGAATAGTATGCATTTGATGGCCCCCTGACTCCTCGGTAGTCGAGGAGAGCGCCAATGTTCTTAATGTGCTCGTCAGGGTCTGTTGTTCCATCATAGGTTCCCAATGGAGGTGGCTTCTCCAGGACGACAGGGAGTGGAGCCTCAGTAATCTCCCTCGATAGCGGGCCATGTGGCTCGTCATCCTAACTATCCATGGGAGATGGAGAAGGAGAGTGATAGTTTCTTCCCCGTCGATCGTCACGGTCTCGTCGGGGGGAGGGGCTCCTCCGTTTCTGTTTTGGTTTGGGAGAAGGCAACCGAGCACGATTGATTTTTCGATTGTATTTCCTCTTCTTGAATGAAGGGGAGTCTTAATCTCTTGCAGGAGGTGTGCGGTTGCATCTTGAGTTTTAATTTTCTATCATGGTTGAAGTTTGGAACGGAAAATAAGAATTGTTTAGAGATTCAAATTTGAGTATGGGGAAGCTAAAACCGTCCCAAAAGCACCACGTTGTCATTCTTAAATTTGACTCATATTTGGAGTATCCTAAAAAAGATTCACATTAAATTGGATAAAATTCTACAAAATAGAAACAACATGCACCGATAATTACCCATTAATATAAGTAGGTATGAATGCAGATACGAATAACTTAATATTGAAAACTCATTTTTATATATTATCTTTTGTATTAAAATATAAAAATGCATGTCCAATTATATATATTTTTAAAATGTTTTTATCAAACTATTTTAAATATTTAATATAAATATTTGTTTATTTAATAATTTAACAATAAAATTTTTGAATTCTTTTTAAAGTTATTAAAAACATAAAATGATATAATATCTTATAATTAATCAATTCAATTTATTAAGAATACCGATAATATATAAATATGGATAGTTATGTATTCATATAATACAATGATTTCCACATGAATATGAGTTCAATTGTAAATATTTTTTTCCAAAATATAGATATGAAAATGAATACTATAATATCTTGCCGAAGTCTGTCGATTGTCTAGGAGGTGGCAATTTATTGAGAAAATCTTAATATTATATTCTCAAAGAACAAATTATAAATCACCATACAGAGAATTTATAAATAAAATTCAATAAAAAAAACAAATAATAATAAAATAATTAATAAAAATTATGTTGAAAAAGTAGTATTATATTATGTTAAAAATCATATTATATGTTTTAAAAAAAATATCTTTCACATAATTTATTTCTCCATTATTTATATAGATCTTGTATTATTTCAATGTTAAAAAACACAAGAAATTATATCATAGAAGTACTATTTTCATTCAAAATTCAAATGCCGCCTTCCCATTTTCGACATTCCTCATATCCTTTAAAATCGTTACAACCACCAGTTATATTTATTTTCCAACTGCAAACTTTGCAGTCATCCACAACTTGATTGTAAACATTAAGATAGTGAAGATAGGGGTTTCCTTTCCATGTAAAACTACAAAAGAATAAAGTATGACCATATCTTGGAAAAAATAATGGTCTAAACTGAAACGAGTAAGTTCCTCCAAATGCAAGTGTGTGAAATTCAAGATCATCATCTTTTGATTTGCAATGAACAATGAGATCTAAAGGGGTTGGATGTGGGGAGATATCATTCCTAATTATAACGATTTTCTTAACAAAAAATGCCTCATATCACTTTCATGGATCATTATGGACCCTCAAGATTGCTCATGTCAAGTTTCAAGTCTTGGATCACATTTTTGCTCAGTCAATTGATCAGTTGACCTAAAAATCAGTTGTATTGGGGAAAAGTCAAATATGGTCAATTTACGGTGAAACTTCATAATTTTTTACCCATGTCAACATTATGAGCTCATATATGTCATTCGATCAAGTTTGGACCATAATTCCTCAAGAAATTTGATCAGATCATCAAAAGGGCAAATGGTCAAAATTAGGGTTTTGACTAAGAAAAGGCAATTTCTTATTTTTGACATAGAAAAAGGTTAATTGGTATTAAACATGATCTCAAGGATTCAATTGCATCATTTTTACCTAATGGCATGACTCAAAAAATTGCTCAATGTCAATTAATTGATAGTTGATTTTCAGTCAACTGATCAAAAGTCAACTGTACACTGAAAAGTCAAACTTTGATTCTTTGGTCAAAATCAAGTGTCAAAGATAACAATTCATCAAAACATGTCAAAATATGAAACTTGTTCATCAAGAAATTAAAAATTCAAGATTTCATTTTGAAAAGTCAAAGTTTCCAAACTTAGAATTTTTTGTAAGTGTTGAAAACTTCATATTTTTTCACAACTTTGAGCCAATTTTTCACCATGATGCAAGATGATTCAAAGAAAACTTTCAACATGAAAGTTATATACCTCAATGAAATATAAACCAATTATGAACACAACTCCTCCTAGAAATGTACATATTTCAAGTTATTAATCCATGAAATCATGGTCATGAAAGTAAAACACTTAGTGAAATTTTGAGCATTTTGGTCAGGATTTTGACCTAACTTCTGAGTCAAGTTTCACATAGTTCCATTTGGATTTTGAAAAAGTGATTCAAATATGGGTTATAGAGCATATTACAAGATTTCTAAAATATTCAATAAATCCTTGAGATCATTTGTAAGCAAGGAGAATCGAAGGCAAGAAGTTAGGGTTTCAAACTTATTTTGCAAGACATATTTTGTGATGAACATGAACCAAATCCATAACCATACTGCATAATCCCACTTTTCAGGCCCTCTAACTTGTGTATCTATCCTTAATCATAATATTACACAAACTTTATGGCTATTATCCATTAAATCCAAGCTTTGTCTAAGTTAACTTGCCATTTTTGGAAGAAAGACAAGACTTCCATTTTGGAAAAGTGTGCTTTTGCAAATGTCAACCCTTCTTGAGCCTCTCAATGGATCCTTTTGAACATAAAACACCTACAAGTCAGAAGCGAGCTTGTTTAAAGTTCAACCACTCTACAATAGCATGTACAAGCTTTGGGAAGATGTTTGCCATGTTTGCTTCAAAAACAAGTGAAGGTTTTACAACATGTAAATTCAAATTCTGACTTGTTGTAGAATACAAAACCTCCTGCCTATAAATACATACATTATTTGTAAGATAACACACGCATGCTCAAGCCCTGAAAACCCCCTAAAGCACATAACCCCCAAAAATATCTCAAAACTTGCCATTTCTGAGTTTTGAACCTAACCTCTAAATTTGATCGTACGTTTTTTGGCCTTTTACTTTCAAAGGCTTCTAAATAACATATAAAAACAATTCCAACACCTGCAACACAACTGTAACACCTCCATCATCATCCACCATTTTCAAAAACATCACCTTGCACCTTGACTTCTCCAAAACTCCTCAGCCACTTTCAGGTCAAACCAAATATCACATTAGCTTCCTGGGAACTTGAGGAAGCTAACCCAATCACTAGAACTCATTGAAAGCTGCTTAAACTCAAAACACGATACCCTCTTGCAAGGTGAGTTTTATGACTTTTGAACTATTCATATAGGAATTGTTAGCCTTCCATTTTCAAAGATAAAATGTAGATACCATTGCCACGAAGCTGTACATATCCATAGTTTGCATTTATATGGCCTGAGCTTAGAGAATTTTGGAGTTGAAGTTTCTGAAGTTTTTAGGTTTTAAATTAGGGCCAGAAAAATTCTCGCCCATCTTGAATTTATAGCTGTAGTTATTTATATGGTTGAATTTGTGGTAAGAAATGCCACAACTTTCATGTTTGTACTTTCCATTTTTGTTGAGAGATAAACAAGTTACACGTGCTCTGGCTGGCTGAAGGTTGAAGATGAAGTACAGGCCTTAGAAGTATTATGTGTTATGTGTTGTACCCCAAAATTTGCCCTCCCATATTCTTCAAGATTTATCAAGAATCATCTTCAAATGGTTCAAGATTTCTCAAAGAGTTTGCACAGTCAAACACCTCCTAAGCCAGTCAAAATTAGGGTTTTGTTTCCTTCAATGAATTTGGGGATTTTTAATGTCTCAATCAAGTCCCATAGGCCTATACATATTCTCAAGCATCTACATGCCAAGTTTCAAGACTCACAGTGCCAATTTGCACAGTCAAAAGCCCTATTTGATCCATAGTCAACTACAGGGGCAAAATGGTCATTTTGCAGTCAAAAGTCAGAATTTTTGGTCAACATCTTATTTTGAGCTCACAATCATCATTTGATCAAGTCTTGATCATGATTCCACAAGCATGGCTCAAAAATCATCAAGATGCAAAAAGTTACTATTTTTGGACAGTAGAAAACTCAACTGTATCTTGAACAGGGCATAACGTTTTCATGGTTCATCAGAAAAATTCCATCCAATTCTCATTTTGAAGGGGATGACATTTCCTACAACTCATCTTCATATTCCAAGTCCAAGAAATGCTCTCACAAAAAGTTATCAATTTCTACATTATAGGTCAATTTCAAAAGTCAACAAAAATGCACTTTAAGTCAAAGACCATAACTTGAGATTGGTAAATCCAAATGACATGGGACAAAAGGAATTGGTTAGAGGACTTCAAGACCTTTCCAAAATGTCCAAGAACATATTCATATGATCAAAATTGAGCAAGATATGCATTGGAGAAGTTGGGAAATTTTTGTGAATTTGCAAAAGTCAACTTTGCTCAAAACACCTTGTTTTTGCTAATGGGCCTCAAATTTCTTCTCGAAACTTTATCCAAGGCCTATGCACGACCCATCAAGCTTAAATTGAATTATTTTATTATTTTTATTAATTAATTGGATTTTTATTTGATTTTAATTCATTTAATTAATTTAAATTGTAGGAAATACAAAGATTTGATTTTTTCAATCTTTTTGTGAAGCAAACAAGCTCAAGATATGCTGGAAATTCGTGTGCAAATCAAAGGGACAAGAATCTCCAAGTTTGGCAAGTTTTTCCAATCAAAAAGATTCAAAAATATTTGATTTTAAATCAAATATACAAACATCAATTCCATGGATTTCTTGGCCAAGATTTAACCTAATTCTCTTCCTCTATAAATACACAAGTCAACCCTAATGCATTGGACGTGAAATCTCTGCAGAAAAGGCCATAACCATATTGAAAAAAATCAAAGAAAAGTGAAAACTGTTTTCTATAGTTTAGCACGATTCAAAGCATTTGGTGGTTTCTAATACCTTGCAGGGGTTCCCAGAGACATATTGCAATCCAAACCAAGTGCTAAAGCCCAAGAAATCACCAAGAACAGTCTCACAGTTTGCTTGATTTTTTCAGAATCGTAACTCATATTTCATGCATAATTAACATGTTATAATCATTGTTTTGTGTTACTAGGAACTGTATAAAGCTAATGGTATAGCTTAATTGAATTATAGCGCCCTAAATCAAAAGATACCATTGACAAATTCTAGGGTTCCTAAGCTTTGATTTTGGGGTTTTATTATCCAGGAAAAATTGAACCTTATAAGACCCATGGTTGAATTCAGGAGACTCAGACGAACATGTTGGCACCATCGCGAAATATTTATGTTAAGCATAGGGCTAATCGCTATTATTGGTCATCGTGTTTTGTGGGGGTTAAAAACCCCCCGCTATCTAACTTTGTTTTTACAGGAAATATGAGGAAGACGATGACGTGCTGATTCATGGTTGGATGATTCAAAAAGCGCGCGCGTGATTTTATGTTTCCAGCATAATTGATATTTTTATATATTATATTCATTGTCCATCATAATAATAAATGCAGGCACATGGTGTAGTGGAAGATGAGCTGGTTGGTAACCATTGGGACCTGGGTTCGATTCCCAAGTCCACCCAAAACTCTATAATATTTTTCTTAACATGTTCATATGCAGAATTCTAAAGGTGGTAAACCATGCACTCTCACATCCTAAGCGTCAAGTGGCTGGCAAAGCAGATCCAGTGGCCAAAAGAGAAGGAACACCATGTTCCCAGTCAACACGCATCATGGAGGATCTCAAAAAGTCAATGGACTGGGATTGTTAATGGGCCTGAGAATTGCTTGCTCACCTCCATATTGGGCCATCACACCCCCTGGGTTTTGTTTTCTTATTTTTTTCTCTTTTATATTTTATCTTTAATTGTTTTTACTAATAACTATTATTATTATTTAATTAACTCACAAATTATTATTTTCATAATAAAATAAGAAATATAATTATTATTATTATTATTAATTTCATCTTTAATTTAATTATTTTTGTAAATAAATTCTAACAAATTGATTTAGTTTATTAGGTTAATTGTAATTATTTTCACAATAAATAAAATCCATGTAGCATTAGGTTTTGACAACTTTTAACCATGTTTTCCTTTTTATTTTATTTTCATTAAAACATAAAAAACATTTCTTTTATTTAATTAATTAGAATTAGGTTTAATTAAATGCAAAAAGGACCAAAATTCCATTCTTTTCTCAAAAAGGGTCAAAACCCTAAGGACTTTCCCGATTCAATTCTTATGCGCGCATATTTATTTTTTTGATCATATTTATGTAATTGTTCCGAGCATGTAATAGATAATTAGGACCTTTTATCGCTTTCTTTTATTTTTCGCATTTACTTTTCAAGGGTTATGTTTTTGGCGATGTAAATACCCGACGCCTTGTAATAGCGTAGATTTACTTTCCGCAATTTACTTTCCGCACAATTATTAACTGTTAACTATGCATGACAAGACTTGCCTGAAAATTAAAATCAACTCGTAGCTCACAATAACATGTGCAAAGATAATTTAACCGAATCCTGACACACTCGCACATGCCACTCCTAGGGTACGCCTCACTTGGTTGCCTCGACGTGGTCATTGAGTATATGGTGTTTTAGAGGTCGCCCTCCTGTCTAAAGATCCAGTTGCCTCGAAACGGTTGCCTCGGATAAAAAGGATCTAGGACATTAGGGATACCGCTAAGGCGTCCTACTATTGCTTTGGTGACCACATGTCCCTATAATCGAATTGACCCGAATAACTCCAACGACGGTGCTACCTACTTCTCAATAGTGGGATAGTACTGTCTAAAGGACATCTACACAGCTTAATTCCTTAGAGTAGGTAGATTTCTCCTGGGTACTTGCTCTTTCAAAAACAAAAACAACTTTTCGCACTTACACTTTCAAACAAAAGTTTTCAAACAAACACTTCATACACTCTTGAAGACTGATACAAGAGTTACCTAGAAGTTTTCAAAACAAACTTTTTTCAAAACCCACAAACACAAGAAAAGCAAAAATCTTTTGAAAACATAGTGAGCAAGTACCTAAGAGCCCGTGGATAACCACGGATAGAAAGGGTGCTAACACCTTCCCTTTCTATAATCTACCTCCCGAACCGAGAGACATCTCGAAAAGGAATTTTGCTGTGCTTTTGTCCTTTCCTTGTTGGAGAAAATAAAAGACGGTGGCGACTCTTGCTTACCGCGACATTTCGCGAACCAGCATTTCAAAACAGTTAGTTCTATTTCCACCGATCACATTATGTATTTATCATTTCATTTTAATTAACAGATGTATAGCCACCCCAGTGGTAAGGCATCACGTTGAACCAAGAGGGCGTGGGTTCAACACCCAACGCGATACCTTTTGTTTCTTTTTTTACATTTTCCTTTTCTTTTGCAGCGCTGGGCCTTCCCCTTTGGGCTTCTTTTTTTTTTACTAAAATATACCCCATGTTTTCTTATATACACGCAACCCAACTTTTTTTTATTTTCAGATTTCAAAAACAATAATGGGCCAGGCTTAGTCAAAAAACTGTTTTTTACTTAAAAACACCACAAATCAAATCTTCACCCCCATGACTTCCCTTTTTTTATTTTGATTTTGATTTATCTTTTTATTTTTATTATTATTAATATTATCATAATATTTATTTTTATTAGTAAAAAATCCCAAAAAATATTTTATTTTATTATTTAGGTAATAATATGTTTATATTTTATTTCTTTTAAGACTAAAAAGACAAAGACAAAAAACATGTTTCTTTAACAAATTAATTTCTTTTTTATTTAAGTAATAATAGACTTAGGTTTAATTTTTTTTTAATTAAGATTAGTTTAGGAGACCTAGTTCCTTTTATTTAATTAATACTAGTTTACTATTCAAAACCTCTTTCATAAAAAAACCTTAAAAAAATTTCTTCTCTAATTAACTTAATTAAATTTTCTTATTTCCTTAGGTTAAATATTTTCTTCTAGTTTATTTAGGTTAAAATAAACAAAACATTTCTTAACAAAAATCCAAACAAATTCACACTCTTTCCCATTTATTCATGCTTGTACATTATTATTTCAATTTTTGTATATTGTTCAATAT